CCCCAAACTGCTGATCATACGGGAGTCCTTCCGGTAAATCTTGATTCCAGTACAAACCAACGATCATAGCAACCAAAGTAGTGACAGTGACGGCAAAAATGAAGAGGCAATTTGCCATGTTTTGTTTGGCCTTGGGCTATAGGTAGGAGTACGATCTTCGACTCTGCAAGTCACGCGATCATTGACTTTTTATGTCGTGTATGGTACATGAATTATCTAGGCTGCTAAGGATGCATTAATTAAGCTCTCCCTACATTTTACCTGTATTTCATAACTTCTTGCTGTTCAAACCAATTTTCTTCGCTCTGGAAGAGGAACTTATTTAAAGGAACTTGGCATTGAAAGAATCCTTAAAAATCCAAGGGAAAAAACATGGTAAGGAACACTATGATGTGGCATATATGACGCAGTTGACTACCGCTATTTTGTAGCGGAGACTGCGATGCCAAAATGGTCGCTGTTTTGTTTGTTTTCACTGCTCTCCTTGCCGTCCTTATCGCTGCAATCTTGCGTATGTATTTCAATCAGCTTGTTCCGGAAGGACTGCCTGTCGATCAACACCATAAACTCCGAATAGTGGGGTTGATCACAAAGCTTACGGGGATGGTGGTAAGTTTATCATATTATAAGCTTTTTAATGTTGTCGTTTATTCCAAAAGTATAATGTAACTTTCCCCTTTGAAGTTGCTATCTCGCTCTTGTGATTTTATAGCTATTTTATTGATATACTGACCAACGTGCATTCCAATGATTCCTTATTTTGCACATGCAGGTTCCGGGTTTGCGATGTGATGTGCGTTCTGTATCCTTGACCATAACTAGCCAGAACAAAATATGTTATCCCCTTTCTATTTCAGGCCTGAACCGCTGTTCTCAGGAAATAAATGCTAAAACACGTACCTAATTTTCCGGACCCTGGTTCTGGAGACCATAAAACCTACCCCATCTATTTTTATTTCCAAAAATGTTATAAGCTTAATGCCCAATTTCAGAACCCTATGGGGAGGTCATACATACTCGGGAGCCCCTCCCCAGTGGATTGTGCTGCTGTTGCAGAGATGTCATTTTTAAATTTGTTTGGAAACATATTTCATCACTCATCATTCACATCTACCATGGAAGTTATCAAAATGAAGGTATATCTAGGGAATAATATCTGATTATTTGGGCCCTAGAATTATAGGAGAAAAAATGATAATCTTCAATCTTTTTTAAAGGCGTACCTTGCATCGTTGCTTGGCATTGGAAGTGTTATAAACAATATTCGTCAGATCCAAAGTGCCTTAAGTCGCCTTCAGAATGTGTCAGACGATCCCTCACTTCAAATCAAGGACTTCAAAATTGCCCATGTTCCGGTTCGTCTATATAAACCCAAACAAAATATAGTTGATGGTACAAAACAAAAATGTGTGGTGTTCTTTCATGGTGGAGGTTGGATTTTCCTTAGTATTGGTGAGTTAATACCAAAGCCAAAGCTGTTAAACCAAATAAATAATGGAAAGGCAAATAAATGCTTTAATTTATTAAAAATAAACCATATTACACAAAGGTTGTACATAAAGAAACATCCACTGTATATGATAACCAATAAGTTGCACTATTTGTGTAGGGTCCTTTTGGGGGTAAAATAAAGGCAAAGCCACATGGATTAAAAAAAAAAAAAAAGCATAAGCATTCCCATTCCTCTTATGAGGGAGTTCCTCCCAGGATCAAAAGCCTTTCTGTGGCCCAGCAATTCATGGCAACCACAGAAACATGATCACGCCTTGGCTCCATCAGGAAGCTGATACAGTCTTGTGTCACTCTTCATGGGCACCCAACAACCAAATTTTTTAAAATAGTCAGACGAATAGAATAGTCTCAGAAACTTTTTTTCCGTCCAGATGTCTTGAATAGGGGAACTTTGGTCATCTCAAAAGTTTTAGGTGGCTCTTTTTGTCCCATCCCAAACTGTCAGAACCCAGATGGGTGTGGTCAAAAGTTTGAGGACATATTGGAGTAGCTGTCCATTCACAAGAAGATTCTAGGAGATGTTAATTTTGTCTTTATAGCAAAATATTTTCAGGAGACTCTTTTTAACAATAAAATATTTCATTAAAGGGGCTGTGTCACGGCAATTTTTAATTTCATTTTTTTAATTTTGTCAATTACTTACCCTCAATCGCTATGGAACTTAAAGTAAGCAAAGAAATTACAGGTAAATGACAAAATCAGAGATGAGAGACAAACAAAAATGTCTCCTGAGCATTATTTTTGAAGTTGCAAGCAGCAGGGATCACCTTTGAAAAACTGTTAGGCTGAACAGTTTTCCGTTTCAGTCTTCCTCAGATTTGCCCATCCGTGGCATCTGTTGTTTCTGTTATGTTATTTTAACCTTCCTTTAAAGTGTTAAGCGCTTATTTTTACGTTTCTCTTAATTAACGGGCGTTTTGTAATTTCCTAATTTGGCTGAATTTCGTGACACAGCTCCTTTAATTATGCAATATCCTGGTAATGAAGTATGAAAAACACAACCTCCAAAAACTGTATGTAAGTTAGTAGAAAAACTGCAAACATCTTGGCCTTAAATTTCTTACCTTTACAAATTCCTGGTTGCCCTAATTTTGAACATTATTTTACAAAAAAAAGACATGTGGATGCCTCTGACTCTCAGTACTTTTATTTTAACCCTTTAAAACCCTAAGATCAAAATTTGAATTCTCATTTGTTGCCCCTATTCATTTCCTACAGAAGTAGTGGTGAGAAGTTGATAAAATATTAAGCAAATTTATCTTATGTGATCATGTCCATAATTCTCATGAGCACTCTGTTTTACAAAGCATTGATATTAGAAGGAGAAATTTGATGCTGACCACTCTCAGGGCTTAAAAGGTTCACTGATTTCTTACTTATCATGAGTCTGTTCCTTTTAGATTCTTACCATTCCGTCACTCAATATATGGCTGCAAATGCTGGAGTGGTAGTTGTATCTGTTGGGTAAGATATTCTAGTACATTGACTGGTACTTGAACTTGCATATGCATTGCTGCTTGTTTAAACATGCAATAATAATTATTATGATTTCTATTGAACGCAGGATAATTTAATCAAGAAGTCATTCTGCATGTGTAAACTTAATGTTACCCACAAGCCAATGGTAAAATGGGCAACAAAAACATGGAATTTGTTTTGTAACACGAGCACTGCTACAAAACGAGTGAACCCTTTAAGTTCCAATAGTGACCAACAGCAATTCTCTCCTAATAATGTCCATACATTGTCAAGAGATAAGGTTGTGAGAATATAAAAAATGATCATGAAAGAGAAAACGCCTTGATGTTTTATTAAATTCTCTCAACTAATTCTTAAAGGAAATGTATGGAGATCAGTTTGGAGAATTTGTATGTGGATACTGGGGCTTAAAGGGTTAACAAACAATATTGCACTTTTTATCATGCACGCTCAAACCTGTTTTGCAACTTTAAATCAGCTTGTTACATTAAGTTATGTGAATACTGACTTCTGATTGGATAAGTTTTGTGGGAGTCAAGCCATACATGAGTTTATTACTCGCTGCAAAAAGTTTGTCTTCAAGGTTGGTAAAATGTGCAACATGTACAGATTTTTTTGTAAAAAGTAGAACTTCTCTCTACTTTCTGCAATAACTGCCTTCTTTTGCAACTTGCAACAAGCTGATTTGTTGCAAGATAGGTTGATTTGGGGATGGTTAAACATGCAACACTGCTTTTCAACTTGTTTTGGAACATTGGTGCCAAACAAGTTGCATATACCTGCCAACTCTCACGCCTTAGGCGTGAGCCTCACGCCTGTGGGTTGAAAACTTGGATCTCACGCCGGCTCACGCTTGCGGGCCAATTTCTCACGCCTGATTGAAAAATGTGAGTTGTTGCCATCTTGCTTGACACAATTTTTAAAAATATGTTAACTCAGACCCATGTATTAAAGGAACGAAAACCATGTGTAAAATGAATAAATGACAATACCTTCCTCACGATCTCTGATTTTGTGGATAAGCATTTTCTCGATAACTTCGCCTTCGGCAGACTTCGGACGTCTTTGGAAGACTTTGGACGTCTTCGGAAGACTTCGGACTTCTTCGGGAATCTTCGGAAATGATCGTGTCGTCTTCAAAAATCGCAGCACTCCCGGGATAAAAATCTCACGCTAATATCTCAGAAAAAGTTGGCAGGTATAAGTTGCACATTTTTGTCACCCATTTTACTGTAACTTTACATATATACACAGGTACAGGTTGGCACCTGAGAACCCCTTTCCAGCTGGTTTTGATGACTGTGTGGAAGTGGTGAAAAGTCTTCTTGAAACTGGAGATGAGTATGGTATTGACACGAACTGTATAGTGTTAGCAGGAAGCAGTGCAGGTGGAAATTTGGCAGCAGCTGTAACTCATCATTTACACAATGAGAACAGAAAGCTGGCTGGTCAGGTAGGTTGTCTTAAAAAAAAATGTAGATGTTTTATTGCAGTTAATGAAGTGGCCTCCCACATAGACGTTCTAAGGGGTTCGTCTGGCATAAGGATCATCCTCGGAGACCCAGGGGCAGTTAGTTAAATGTTCGTGGTAAAAGTTTAGACCTGACTAACTGCTCCTCGGGTCTCCGAGGATGCATTAGGATTACTCATGGCGAGCCAAAAGAATGCCTGCGGGGGTGGCTCTTGATGGAGAACAACGCTTCCTAATCTGGTGGTTGCCCTGTGATTTTATGGGGGCCTGTGCAACCAAGAAGGACAAGACAATTTTTTCAGTCCCCTTATCCACTTCCAGCTTAAAGTGAAAAGCACACTTTTCTACCCCATGTTACTAACAACTAATAATTTTTTTTTTCAAAAAATAAATCAATTGGCAGAGAACAAAAATAAGTTGGTTATCTGTAAGCACATCCAATGATAATGGCAACAGACCTCTTTAATTTCTAGCGTTTGTTTTACCAATGTAGGTCATGTGATGATGAGAACTGTTTCTTTCAGATTTGTCATATTTTCAGATGCATTATGTATATGAATAATTTATGAAAAAACAAAGGGGAAAATTAATTTCCTCTGAGACCTTCATTGGGAAAACAAAACGTACTTTTCTTGTAAGCTTAAGAGGTCTATAGGTTAATTAGCATATATAAGTTGTCATTAACAAGGCAAAGTTTAAAAAGCGTCACGTTTGAATCACAGACTCAAACATTGAAGCTGTAAAAGTGTCTGGACCAGCAAAAATGCTGCTCTTAAGAATTTGCTTTAACGGTGCAGCCTGTGCTAGTGCATTTTTAAAGTTTTTGTTTTTGAGGAGAGGAAACAACCTGGGTTCTTGGAGGAAGTAACCTCTAACAGCAAGGAAAAGAACTAACATCAAGCTGAAGTAAGCCTTTTGTTATTTTTCAGATCCTTATATGTCCTTTACTACAGTTCATGGATTTGATGCTGCCCTCTTATCAAAAAAACAGTTCTGCTGTTCTCTCTAAAATAGAAGTGGCATTTGCTTGGTCATGTTATATTACCGGCACAAAACGGATGTCTCGTTCGATTGGTGCTAACAAGCACTCAGCGCATCTTTGCAACACAAAGTATTCAAAATTCATTGGTGTTTGTGATGGTGATGTTGACAAAGTTCAGAAAGAACCACCAAAAGATATTCCTCAGGGAATTGTTGATGCTCTTACTGATTACAGAACGTCACCTTTAATAGCTGATAACATGACTGGCTTACCCAAAACTTTGATAATCACTGCTGAATTTGATGTTCTCAGAGATGATGGACTGTTGTACAAGAAACGTTTAGAAGAAGCTGGTGTACCTGTGACACATCATGAATACAAGTCATTCCACGGCTTTCTACAGTTAAGAAGTGACAAGAAGATATGCGCTTCAGCCAAAGAAAATATTATCAAATTTTTGAAGGAATTGTAGAGCAGTAGTTTATTGCTGGGTCTTAGAAACTGCATGGTCTTTGTAGAGAGTTAGGGTAAAATTCTGACCAGCAACATAACCTTGAAACAGCAACATAGGACAAACCCAATGGGGGAAAAACGAGTTAACGACATATAGTTCGGTTGAAACTGTGACGAGGACAGTTTTATTATTGTAAAATACTGACTGGGGCATGGCTTCCTCCTCACCCCGCAAAACAACCGATTTTGAAATTCAGATCTAAGAGGGCCTTTCCATAACCAATGACATCACCGCTTAACTGAGAGACAACCAATAATCGGATTTAATTGAGACTAATCAGGTCCATAAACAGAGTTTAATACCATTTGAATGGCTTTATTTGTACATGAAGCTTTCAGTAAACCTTCTGGTTGCCTAGGATATACACAATATTTTTTAAAAACTTTTCATTATGCACCTCAGAATTGTGGATGTAAATTTTTAGCAAATAAAATTATTTTCTTGTACAGAAGTACTTGCGTTCTCCTACGTCAAACGCAAAAAGCAGGGGCGGATCCAGGATTTTTTTTAAGAGAGGGTGCACTCGTCTCTTGCTCTACTTCAACACCAATAAACCACATAGTTTTTTTTTGCAGAGTACCAGTTGTATTAGAAAACCGCAGGTCATCTCGGGGGGAGGGGGTGCGCATCCCCCTGCACCCTCCCCTTAGATCCGCCCCTGAAAAGAGAATTAACGAAAAAACAATAACCGAAACGACAGCAAGTGCAAAACAATCTTCAGAATCTTGTATAGACAATGTTTTTTGTTGTAGTAAGTTATCTTTTTGTTCAATCGTAGCAAGAGTCATAATGTAGGGGCAGCCAACGAGAATATAGTTCAAAACCACTTAAACATAGAATTGTTGAACGTATTTTAGTATTTTGAACCGTTTAAAAACGGTAGATATATGCATACTTTTATCCCCTAGTGATCCGAAAATTATAGGGATCAAAACTTACCTTTTTGAATTTCAGCCCGGAAAAGACTTCCGAAAATTCTAGGTGACCTTTTTATGGTTAGAATGCGTTAAAAATGCGCAATTTTACAATTTTTTTTTTTTTTTTTTTTTT